CCTCAGTTATACTCTGCTGGGACGTACAACGATTGCTGCAGATATTTGACCATAATAATAATAATAATAATAATAATAATAATAATAATGAAAACTTGTATAGCGCATATACAAGTCTGTTCTATGCGCTCTGATATAACTAACAAACAAATTAAACTCTAAAAGCTAAACTAAACAAATAAGTTTTGAGCTCTTTCTTAAAGGACAGCAAAGAGTCAATGTTTCTTAAATCAGATGGGAGAGAGTTCCATAAAGTAGAGGCAGCAACAGAGAAAGAGCGAGAGCCATATGTTTTCATGGAGTAAGGTTTAACAGATAGGAGTAGTTCTTTAGAGGACCGAAGCGTTCTTTTAGTCCAAAAGAAGCCCAATTAATAGCTAGTTGGTTTATAGGCCACTCTCAATAAACACTATAATTTGATTTGTTAGTTGAGTTTGGCTCCAAAGAGTCCTATCTAGTGAAGTTGGCCTTGGATGGCAAAGATAGCGGTTTGATGTGAGTGTTACTTTGAAGTTCAGTCAAAAGAAATTACGGCGATATATTAGAGTGGCTATTCAAACGGTAACCGTACGGCCGAGTTTTTTTTTTCTATTTATACGGTCATTGTAAGTATTCTGAAATTTTAAAGTCATCATATAAGATATCGATAATTAAAATACTATAATTTTGTTTACAGTCAAATAATAATATGAATACGCTGCAAACTTCGTGATTTTACCATGCACATTTAGCCCGGCATAGAATACATCGTCGCGAATAGTATTTTAATACTATTGAAATTTATTCTCATGATCTTCATCTTTTCAGTCCTCAAAATGGAGCTAAATACGAAAACACCGACCATGGAAGCGCTTTGTACTTGGATGGAGTCGATGACTTCGTCTTAGTTCCAAGATTTGTATTTTATGATAAAAATTATTCATTTGGTGTMTGGGTCAAGTTAGCAGTGAACAAGAGGCACATTATTATCAGCGATGACAATGGCCACGTGACTCATAGGTCCTTCAGTTTTAGAATAGYYAACAGCAAAGTGGAGGTCGTCATGTTTTTTGGAGACGGCTCACACCTAATTTTCGCTACTTCAAATGGGTAAATATGCAATCAGTACTCCTTTTTAATTTGTAGCAATATTATAGGGAAGCAAGGAGAAGCATGGGCATTTTGGGAAGCAAGGGTGGCCAAGGGTTGAGAGTGCTGTTCTGTCAAAGTCTAATTATATAGGCGTCTCGTTTAGAACTAAAATCTCGCACGGTTTGGATCCCGAGATCAAACTACATTTCTATATACCGCAAGGGRTCTACAATTGTAGCTTGTCCTACTTCCTACTATATCAAAAATAAAGAGCTCCAGAATATGTCGTGTCGGGCTGCGCCCTCAGCTGCCTGCATTATATTACGAATGCTGCGTTCTTCAGTAATTAAATTATCTATTAAATAAACTCTTTTCAGCACTATAACTTCCTTTATTTCTGTCTTAATAGAAAAAAATTTCAGGGTCTCCGCATCAAACCGGTCTCAGCTCCTATGTTCTGTAAAGAGTTAGTTATCGGGAACGGAGGCATTACGCTATATACAGCGCGAGGGCCGCAGCGTAATGGTGACTTGCTAGGTAACGAGCTTCCAATTCACGCGGTTTTCACAAAAACAATGAATGTTTTCTTAGTTGGGATTCTCCTCTTGAGACTTTTTCATGGCCTGTTGAAATTTTAAGGAAGCCTGTTCATGCGAGAGCGTGTAATCGCAATACACCTTTTCTTGCACTTAGGCCTCGATAGCAAGTTMATTATTCTTTTGAATTTGACAAATGAGACTATTCATATCAATGTTTGCATTGCTCACATTCCTACAAATTCAAAAGAATATTTAACACKCTGTCGAGGCCTAAGAGCAACAGAAAAGGTGTATTTGAACATGGTTATCAAATATTCTTAACAGTCATTCTGGAAACGATGTCGTAACGTAAACGACGATTTGTTTGTTTATAGCTCAAAATACGCTTGCTGCCAATACATATGCCAAACTTTGATATTGGCGCCGATTTGCTATCGGATTTGGAAGTACTTATGACGGTGGAAAATCTGCAGAAGAGAAAAAAAAAATAAGAGAAAAATTACAATAGCTTTTGATGTTATTGTTGAAATCGCTCAAAGAAACGAGGCAAGGATTCCAGAAGGAACAAAATAAAGTACCAAATGGTGTGTACGTGCCTTTTATAGAAATGGCAAAGGAGCGGAGAAATGCGTCAATACCGACGTATTGACTCTTAGTAACGAAGAACTTGGCTGTTTTTGTCTCTATTCTCTGATGGACAAGAAGAAAATCATGCGAGACCCGAACTTATTATGCCCTCAATCTCCTCAAGTATTGCTAGTCGCACTGATCTTTTTAAGGGGAAAAATTAGTTTAGTTTACTTGTGTAGTTTATTTGATATTCACACAGGGAAATGGGAGTTCATGAATTGAATTTCAATCGGTCTCTATCATATATACACAACCCTATGAATAACAAAGAAAAAATAGTGAATTGGAGACTAATTGCTTTTATTGAACCGTGTAGCTGTTTCAAAACAAGAAATATATTTTGTTTTTAGGATAATCCCCATCAATCAGTGGATTCATATCGGCGTTACCTTTGATATTGATGCACATAGGGTAAAGATCTATCTTAGTGGTACACTGGACAAAAACCATGTCGGTAGCTCMCCAGCCAGGAACATGAATCTATATGCTCCCACCAATTATTGGATTGGAAAAGTCGGCTATACGAATGAAGTTTTCTTCAAAGGCTGGATGAAAGATTTAGCAATGATACCCCGCGTTTTGCAAGATTCTGAAATGAAAGCTCTTTTAGGTGAGAGGATWGTTTTCATACGGGTAAGAAATTTGTATGAAGAGCTTCCCTTTTTGTCGAGGACGATGGAACGTGCAACAGCTGGGTCGAAAAAGGTGTTTTTACAACTGGTGATAAAAAATTGATCTAAAATTGTTGAGTTCGAGAGTTGGATTGACGCGCAAGTTAAGACACAGACCTGAAACAACTCTTAGACTAAGTAATCAATAACCTATACCAACAGATATGTGTGTTTAAGAGTTTATTAATCATAACATATTTTAGATGGAGAGCGAAGAGCATGGATTGGCCTCAATGACAAAGTAAACGAAGGGGTACTTCAGTGGGCCGACGAGTCACCCCTGACTTATAAAAACATGAAACAATTGAACACAGAGACGAGAGACTGCAGTGCAGCGATACTAGTGGAAAACTTCCCTGAAGAATGGAGCATGAGAGATTGTCAGGAAGAATCGTTTTTCATTTGCAGAAAGTAGCGGAGATGACAACCAGCATGTACGTTCACAATCAACAAGACAAAGCACCTTCAAAATAAGATGATTATGTTGCATAAAGCTATCTGGAACTTCCCGGATCATCACCCCAGCACATCGAATCACCCACCGCGATTTTTTATGAAAACTTTCACCTGGATAATAACAACCACTTATGAATGGAGATTTTTGATGGAAACTTTCACCTTTATAATAACAACCACTTATGAAAGGAGATAAGTTATAAATTTTACGATAAACATAATATTAAATGGTCGCTTTCCGATGAATTGTACTATTTGCTTATCATTAATAACTATAGTAAAGTAACAAATACCTAAAATTACCGATTTTGGCCTATCTTCTCCTTCAATAATGGACGTACTTGCTGAAGTTGTTTGAAGATAATAATAGAAAGCATTCGCCACTACGGGCAAAGAATATATGTAGCACAGGAGTTCACTCTGGATTAAAAAAGTTTGCATCCATTATGAGTAAGATCTGATTCCAGGACAGGCTACATTTTTGGTTTTTCTGTTTTTTAATACTTTTTCTCGCAYTCTTACCTAATTAATTATTTACGTATTAGAGTCTTAGTACTCTTCTTAATTCAAGAGATAATTTCAACTGAAGCCAGTGTCAGTTAAGTTTGAAATAATTTCTAATGAATTTCTCAGCTTGGATGTTAGTATTTGTAGCTTTATTGTGCGTTCAGCATGTATCTAGCTCTACCAGTCGGGTACGAGAAGATACATACGATGTTTTTCATGGTAACATTTTACAGTTGCCACAAGGAATGGAACAGAAATCGACCAAAGTAGACGACGCCATGGACTGCATGTTCTCTTGCACCAGTACAGATTGGTGTCACTCGGTTAATTTTAAGATCAAACCTCTTGGAAACGGTCTTCATGTGTGTGAGCTTCTCTCTTCTGATCGGTTCACAAACGGTACAACCATAAAGCAAGATAATGGATTCCGTCATTATAGTAAAAAGGTTAGTACAATACAAAATCCAGTCTTAATGCTAGAAGATACAGAACGTTAAGGTTTTAAAGTTGATNACGTATTAGAGTCTTAGTACTCTTCTTAATTCAAGAGATAATTTCAACTGAAGCCAGTGTCAGTTAAGTTTGAAATAATTTCTAATGAATTTCTCAGCTTGGATGTTAGTATTTGTAGCTTTATTGTGCGTTCAGCATGTATCTAGCTCTACCAGTCGGGTACGAGAAGATACATACGATGTTTTTCATGGTAACATTTTACAGTTGCCACAAGGAATGGAACAGAAGTCGACCAAAGTAGACGACGCCATGGAGTGCGTGTTCTCCTGCACTACTACAGATTGGTGTCACTCGGTTAATTTTAAGATCAAACCTCTTGAAAACGGTCTTCATGTGTGTGAGCTTCTCTCTTCTGATCGGTTCGCAAACGGTACAACCATAAAGCAAGATAATGGGTACCGTCATTATAGTAAAAAGGTGAGTACAATGCAAAATCCAGTCTTAATGCTAGAAGATACAGAACGTTAAGGTTTTAAAGTTGATGCATTGGGACAAAATTTATCCTTAAACACTCCGCTATCTATTTAACCAAAGGAAAGTGCTCTTCTTGGTTTTTAGATTTTAGATTTTCATTATTTAGTTGTTCACGTTTTCGGAAAAAGACCATTTTAGAGTGAATCAAATTTCAGGACCGAATCAAATGGGTTAAAGTTGTTCGTAATTTGATTTGAAAAGGCTGTTTTTGATAATTGTAAATCACATTATAACTATTTTTAGCTCTAATTTCGGATAACCGGGCTCGTAAAACAGCAAAATAATTGCTTATAATATGGTAATGCATCTCTCAATAGCTCATGTTTCTACTTATTAAAAATTTATAAAAAGGCACAAAAAATTCACTTGAGAACAACAATGACGAATAATGGTCAATTAAGAACACCATCTCTTGAAAAAATATATTCAATCTAGTGCAGGTACCATTATTTTCTTCACCTAATTAGACCGAGCGTTTCTTTTGGTTAAACACGGTTTCTATTATTAAAATATTCTTACAAGATGTTTTCAAGAGCTGAAGCTTTATTTAGCAAATAATAACAACTCTTCACTTGGGCTTTGTCTCCGGCCATGCTCTCATAGAAACTCAATATGATTTTTTTACACATTTCAATCAGTCGATTCGAGCGTCACATAATAGTTATTTATGAATTATTATTTTTAAACACACGTTTCGGAATTGGAAATTATGAATTCTTGTTTGCAATAACAACAACAACAACAAGTTTATTCACGAAAATAAATAATGTATACAATTGCAGTCCTGCAAATATCGTAATGCTAATCGAGGCAGGACAATGATATA